TGAACTGAACTCAATAACCCAATGGGTCAGCAGCCTTGTTTCTGGAATTCTCTATGAGAGTTACAGTGAACAAAATTACTCTCTGGTCTATGTTATAAATGCGTACAATTTCAAATATTTATCACCAAAGGTAAGCCCACTGCTATAGAATAAAGGAAACAGCAAGGACTTAGGGCTAACATGCTAAAAGCAGGTACAATTTATTTACTTGCATTTAAGCACCTTTTCCTTGCAGAAAAACCAACTTGAAAGTGCAGTTGGAAAAATTCAGTTCTTTCTTTTGATGCTATCTTTGGCATCTTCTGATACCATCTTTGGTGTGGAGGTGGGGTGGGGTGGGATGAAGAAAGCAGGCAAGGTAGATAAAGAAAGAATTACATATGGTTGTGATCACTCAGAGGATTTTGCCAGTGAGATTAGGCAAGTAGTTGAAACTTTATTTTGGTAAAAGGAAGAAAGGAGCCTTCGGTAAGAACCTTCTTGTTGATATGGCTGTTCTCACTCAGTCTCTCATGATGAAGGGGTCCATTTACTCTATAGTCATCTCCCAGCACACTTTCATGTCTTTACTTTTGATTTCAACAACTATTTTTACTTTCCACACACACACACACACACACACACACACACAAATTAACAAAGAGACGCCTCACCAGAAGTGTCTGGTATTCAACAGGAGAGATAAAAAATGGTATTTAATTACAAATAAGTAGCCAAATGCTTTAAAAAGCACATCTTTTTGTTTTCTTCATGAAATTTCTTTGAAAAGCCCTCTAAATACCTTTCAGCTATTTTTCCCCTATGCCTTGATTTTGTCCATCTGTCCTACCATTCAGAAGGCACAGTCACAGAATGAAAATTAATTGAAGACATCCTCTTCTGTTTCCACTCCAGCTCTTATTATTCTTCAAATACTAACCATTAAAAACACTTACCAGAGCTGCCAGTTGAGTAAGTAGAAAAATGACATTTTCCATTTACTTTCCATTATGGTCCACCATGCACATGGGTCTCCTAGAAGGACAGTGCTGGGAAGCACTTTGTAGTCCCTGCCCTCCCCCCATTCAGCAGGAGCAGGGATGCAACAACTATATTCATCTAATTTGCATTTATCCAAAGCCATGCTCTAAGGAGAGAGAAACTACAGGCATCTGGCAACCAGATCAGAATGATCTTATGAACACTGACGGGACAACTACTGATATAAGGTGATTGACATCTTATACTAAATCCTGTTGATGTTGACAGTACCTGCCTTGGGTTTTTGTTGAAGTTCATTAGACAAGGTGGTGATAACAGCTGTAGAAGAAGGAACACTTTAAAAACCTGCACATACTGAATGCCCGCTGCTAAGCAAAGAAAGAGTGAAATCAACTCCTTTGGAAAAAATAATTTTGTGTTTGGAGAGGAGGCAGGAGGGTGCTGTGGGCACACACCACTTCTCTGGAGACAGTTTCACAAATGCCATCAGTCTTTACTACATGCGATCTTTCCAGTACAAATCTTTACACCTCTACATTCAGCTGTCTGATGAATTGTAAAGACACCCTCGAAAGGAAATCAAACACCACTAACATTACTTGCTTGTTCTAGACAGACATAAAGCCTCAAATTAGCTCCTTTAAAAATATACACACGGTATTTGTTTGGTATATTATAGATTGACAAGTGCATATGTTATAATAGGTAAATATTAGTTTCAAAGAAAAAAGTCATGCCCATTTTGTAGGTCAGTCAATTCATGCTTTAACCTCCAAAGGCATAGCTGAGAAAAACTCCCTTTTAGAATGAAAGCAAGTGACACCCCCCAGATTATTACAGACTTGGTCCTGGGAATACCATGTGCTTTGTCTATAATGAATTATACATGCTCAGTACTGAGTTTACCTGTAGACAAAATTTGCTATTCATAGAAAACTTCCAAGTGAGTGGAACCAGAATTTGTTTTTCTCAGGTAATTCTATTTTCATCATTTTCTTTTACCTGTCATTCAGGCAAAAGGAAAAGATGGAGCTCATTCTCAATCTAGATAACAAAATGACTTTCCTGCTATAGATTTTACTTTCCTTTACAACAAAACCAGGGCTTATTTCTAAAGCACAGAGTGCTGAATGTCCCTGCAAGGAAGACAGTTGATCTAATAACTAAGGGTACTCAGTTTTAAGTGGTGGGAAATGAGCTGCTGTGTAGCCAAAGTACTTAAAAGATAAAATATCTGTGACCTGAGGACTGCACTGCTTTGGAGTTTTCTGGCATTTTAAAGGTACTGATGAGCCATTCTTCAATCTCCAACGGGTGAAGGGAGATCTTGCCACACAGCCCATTTTCTCTGCCAGGTCCCAAGCTGTTTACAACTTTCTGTGATGGAGCTGAAGTTGACTTCATTGATAGTTACAGCTGGATAATAGGAATCAGATGTCCCATTTGAACAACAAGACAGGAGGAGAGAAGTTATTGTAAACAGATCTCTCTCGCTCCCTCTCTCTCTCTCAAGATGCTCCAAATCTCTCAAGCTTAAAGGTCTGGGGCAAACTAAAAAATTTCACACTTGATGATGGCATTTTTCTTCAAGTCATGAAAATGTATTACTTGGTTGTAGCCACAAGCTAACAAAATGTAATACTATTTAACAGTATACTACCGGAAAAAATAAAAAAAAAAAGCTATTGAACAAGTGGCTTTTTGCCAAGTGGAAGCACTAATTCTGAGCAACACTCATTTGCAGTGGGGACAGTCTTTGGCTGTTCCTCTGGATTCATGCGACTTTGACTTCACTGTGTGTGGAAACTCTGCCACTGGAGCTGAAACTTTAACACAGAGTGAAGATTGTATGAAAAATACATCATATCATAGGAACCCAGTATCATGGGACAATGCAAGGCACCAAGGCCTGGGGTCAAGAACCAAAGTATGCAGTTGGCTTGCTGTTTATGACAGCCTGTGCAGTCTCAGACATGCTCCTGTATCTGTCCGCCTTTTTTTTTTTTTTTTTTTGAGACAGGGTCTCACTCTGTCGCGCAGGCTGGAGCACAGTGGCATGATCTTGGTTCACTGCAGCCTCAACCTCCCCAGGCTCAGGTGATCTTCCCATCTAAGCCTTCCGAGTGGCTAAGAATACGGGCATGCACCACCACGCCTGGCTAATTTTTGTATTTTTGGAGGGGTGCATATGGGGTTTTGCCATGTTGCCCAGGCTGGTCTCAAACTCCTGCGTTCTAGCGATCTGCCCACATTGGCCTCTCAACGTGCTGGGATTACAGGCATAAGCCACCATGCCCAGCCCATCTGACTTCATTCTATCAACGAGGAAACTCAGGGGGTTGACCTCTAAAAGATTCTCTTCTACTCTAAGCTTCTACACTTGTCTTTTTCATCGTGCAAAGAAAGAAGGTGAAGGCTTAACAAAAATAGAAACTCAAACTCTTCTTATCCTTAGTGCAATTCTGACAGGCACAGAACGTACAGACACACAGCCCAGCCAAAGTGCTGCAGTGCAACCCTGAATTGTTAGCAGAGCTAGAGAACAGGTTTCATCTGAGCCAAGATGAGATTGTAGAAAGTCCCTTCTAGTTTAACAGGCTAAGGTTTCCACTGATTCTCAGAAACCCCTAAAGGTCAGGTCTGTGCATGCAGCATAATTTCCAGCCTGGCTGTTGCTCTGCTGGGCTGGCTGAGTCCTTTCCCTTCTCCTGCAGGATGCCCCGGGCAGGTGGCACTGCTCTCTTCCTTACACACCATCAGTGGCCCCCTGACAACAGCCTCAGCCAGTATTTAATGTTCCCCTTCTTCTGCTTCTTTCAGGTTTTTGTCTCACTGTCCCCTTGCAGTATAGCAGAACGAATATGAGTGATGGGCTCACGGAAACATGTTTTCCAATCCTAGCTCTTCCACTTACCAGTAGAGTAACTCTGGAGAAGTTACCTAACTACGATGGGTCTCAGTCTCCCCATCTGTAAAATGGGAATAAGATGAGCTACCTTGCAGGAATTCTTAGGGAGAGCAAATGAGATTGTACATAAATCCCCCAGCCTCCATAGAGTAGGTGCCTGTTTCTCAGTTTCTTCCTTTCCCACTTCACTGTTCCTTTGTTTTTTTTTTTTTCTTAAGACAGAGTCTTGCTCTGTTGCCCAGGCTGGAGTGCAGTGGCGCAACCTTGGCTCACTGCAATCCCTGTCTCCAGGGTTCAAACAACTCTCCTGTCTCAGTCTCCTGAGTAGCTGGGATTACAGGCGTCCACAACAATGCCCAGCTAATTTTTCTATTTTTAGTGGAGACGGGGTTTCACCACGTTGGCCAGGGTGGTCTTGAATTCTTGATCTCAAGTGATCCATCTGCTTCCGCCTCCCAAAGTGCTGGGATTACAGGCGTGAGCCACTGCACTCGGCCTCACTCTTCCTTTCTTGAGTGAAACCACTCCCTACCCAAGCACTGCCTTTCTCGGCTGCACACTTCACATCTCCTCATGGGGTCTGCCACTTTCCCCTCATCCCCTCATGGTCAAATCTCAGCCAGCCTCTAAAAATCAACTCCAAGACCACTTCTCCCAGGAAGCGACCCTGGAGGCCTTTTCCTCATCGGATATTCCAAGGAGCGTGGCCTTTGCGATCCGTAGCCTGGGATGGGTTTCTGTACCACCCTTATAATTATTTATCTGTCTTTCCTCACCTATGAGCCTGGATCTGCTACATTCAACCCAGTTCTACACCTGGGTGCTCAGCAGATACTTGTGCAGTGAACAAACGTGGCAACACAGGACCAAAAGGCAGCTTCTGATGTGCTTGCTTTACAGACACAAAGCTTTAGCTGCTGCTTTGAATGAAAACATCCATCCAAGAAGACAACGGCCAGAGTCAGTGTGAGAGGCGCTCGTGGTGTGAGAAAAGCATCTGCTTTGTGCAGGAGCCGAAGAAGTTATGTGAGAAAAGCAGCCCGGGGGAAAAGCAACAGAAGCCTGGGCCCAGGACAGTGGCTTTGAGCCCCAGCCTAGACACAGCGCCAACCTGCAGAGACGGAGACCGTCCTGTGCGTCGAATCAGACTTTTGGGATAAAAGAAATCGGATGAAGAACGCCGAATGTTTGGCAGCTGCCATGAAACATGAGAAAAGGGAAGAATGAACATAGAAATAGCCTCAAATGAGAAGTATTATTAAAAAAAAAGAACAACACCTTAGGGAAAACTAACTTGATAGTAAACATAAAGTGGGATCCTTTCATTGATGTACATGTGGATTTTTTGGGTCAATTTTTGGGCCCATGTTTAAAAGCATATTAAATGGTCTTCAAGTTACAGTACATTTATCTAAGCTCCAACCCCTTTCAATTCCTCTCCATCTATTTTGGCTTAGACATTCTTATAATATATAAAGGGTAAGAAGCCAGTGAAGCCAATTGAGAGGCATTCTTGAGAATCTGTTGTTACAAATGCCCCATGAGTTCTTAAATATCAAAAATGTGGATTACTCAGTGGGGTTGCTGAAAGATTCTTAAAACATTTTCATTTCGCTGTGGAAACTGCACTAATGTGAAAAGTGAAAGGCCTGGAAATCTTGGCTCAAGATTTGTGATGTGTAGACACATCCTTAAGAGAGCACAAGATGCATTTCTCTGTTCAAAACCTGTTCCCTTTAACCCCCCCCCAACATCAGTGTGAACCCCGGCTCTGGGCACATGGGGGCCTCTTCCTCACTTCCCGGCTTTCCAAAGACAGTGACCCAGAGCCCTCTCCTGACCTCCCAAGTAGTGAACGCTGGGTTTAGGAGAAGAGCTTTAGAATTCTCTGGAAGGTTTACTAAAGGAAGAAAACAAGAGCTCCTCTTGGCCAGAATGGGTGGAAGTATTTCACTAGTTGTTTTCACAAGCTTATCCAGAGAGCTTTCCATCAAGATGTAATCAGAGTATTGTTGTTTTTTAAAAATCATTTTAGTCACATGATCTGCAAGCTCAAGCAATCCTGATACAGAAAAGACCCACATTCCACTCAGTCTGGCCTCATTAGCATTCCTCTCTTCATTTCCCAAAAGACTTCATCAGAGATGAAGTTAAAATGATTACTAAAAAACCCAAAAGCAACACTAGGGAGAGAGTATAAACTACTATAGCTACTTGGGTGGTTTCTGGGCAGCATCCTCAAGCTATGCTGTGAACTTTACATTCTTATGATAAAAGTCACAATAAGGATGATCATTTATGTTCTCATACTTCATTAAAGGTAACTCATTTCCAAAGCATCCATAGTTTCTCAAAAATCCCAGAGTGTAGCGCCCACAACCGGGTGACTATGCCCGTGTGTGACTATCCGGCTGATGGACTTCAGGAGTCTGTGTGCCAAAACAGAGAGCAAAACCACCCTAAGTTTGGTGGGCAAATTCCTCTTCAGCTGTTCTTACCTTTATTCAGTTATTCACAGAAAAAGTGTTTCCCCCCCTGCCCTCTCAACTTAAGTATGTTCACAATAATTTTGCATTCTAAAAGCACTGTGTTTGTTCAGGGTCACAGCGAAGGGACAAATTCCTAAAATATCCAAATGGTAAAATGTCTCCATCTGATTGATGGATGTGAATTGAGAAGGAAAAGAAAAAACAAAAAAACAGGAAAAATAGCTCCTGTGCATACGTGTGGTTCATTCAGAGAATAAAGCAAACACACTAGGAAAATAAGAGCTGTAATTCCCAAGGCAGCAGGCAAAGGGATCTGAAAAAAGGCAGAGCGAGTGGGTCTCGCTGATAATCACTGCTCCAAACCCAAGTTACCCCTTCATAAGTCACACATCATTGACTAGACCCCATCAATAAACTGGCCGTGCTGCCGCTGGGGATTACATACATAGCTTCTGATGCCTGCTAATGGCAGATCGAGAAGAGATTATACTACGCACTAGAGGCTGGCCTCCAAAATAAATCCAGGCCATTCTTTTCCCTGAGACAGTAAACAGGGTGCAGTCAAACTCCAGTTTTTCTATGGGTACCACTAAGTTAGGTTCTGGGCAGCATCCTCAAGCTATGCTGTGAACTTTACATTCTTATGATAAAAGTCACAATAAGGATGATCATTTATGTTCTCATATTTTATTAAAGGTAACTCATTTCCAAAGCATCCATAGTTTCTCAAAAATCCCAGAGTGTAGCGCCCACAACCGGGTGACTATGCCCATATGTGACTATCCGGCTGATGGACCTCAGGAGTCTGTGTGTCAAAAACAGAGAGCGAAACCACCCTAAGTTTGGTGGGCAAATTCCTCCTCAGCTGTTCTTACCTTTATTCAGTTATTCAGAGAAAAAGTGTTTCCATGGGTACCACAGTTTTCTATGGGTACCACTAAGTTAAGTCAGGTTAACCCAAGGCAATGGGATTCATTCAGTCTGATTATTGCACTGAAAAATACTTTCTGGCCCACATGAAAAATGGGGCATCTGAACAGGATAGAGATTACGATCATGGTTTTACAACCGTGTACAGCGCTTTGCTTCCGAAACATAAAATACTGTCATCTGGAGGTGTTCTGAGAATTGATTAATTTACTTATCTTGGTTCGCTATTATTTTCCCCATAGGTTTTATCTGACAAGCCATCAGCTTTTAGAGTCTATTCTGGTGAATTTGGATTCAGTAAAATGAGAGACCAGTAAAATGTACTAATGTAGAGCTGGGGTCAGAGTAGTGCGTTATAGACTAAGCACCAAAACAGTCTGGTGAGGTCAGCAGATGCTACACCAGGAACCTGATGAGTCATTGTTTTCCCATCTGCATGATTTGACTTTTCCCTTGAATGCTTTTCTAAGAAGCTGACTAGTGAGGCCAAGGCTTACTTTGTCTAACACAAGCATTTGGAACAAAAACCACAGTACATTTAAGGTAAGAGGGGACCCCTTTCCCTAGCCAAATGGCCTTTGAACTTAGTTTGCTATAAGGGAAAAAGTCAGTAAAAAGTAATTTCACCTAAACCCTAACCCCAAGAATTAGTGACCATGAGCGTATGGCCTACAAATGCAGCTGGCGTCATGTTTTAATTGTGTTCTTACCCGCAGCTTTTCCTCGGTCTTCGTAGATTGCTCACAGTCGGGATGCCAAACGGTGGAACCTGAGAAGACAGAATGCACTGCTAAGAGCCAGGAAAATGGAAAGATACAAAGTCCTCTTAGACAGCACTTCTGAGAATGGCTCCTATCCCTCTTTCCCCATCATAGGAAGGTGTTATTGCTTTATGTCCAAGTAAGTCATAACACAAAAATCAGACATGTCCAAAGTCTAAGCAAGTTTTCCTGATCTAGCCCAAGCTTGTTTGATAAAGATCATAATTCTAGACCACAGAGACCACTAACTGGGCATGAGTCTTTTGATGCAAGAGATATTTAGTTCTTAATCGTGTCTTGTTATTGTTAAACCTTATATCGTCCTTTAAAAGGAATGCCTGAGTGCTTACTACAAGTTGCATTTAATTTAAAAAATAGTAGGCATTGTTTATCTAACATCAAAACAACCAAGCAGTTTAGTTGAGGGGAATAAAGTCAACCAGATAGTCTATATCCAGAAGCAAAACTTACTGAATTTTTCATTGATTCAATTATACATAGCCACCTACAGAGAAATGAGAACTTAAACCAACTAGCAGAAAGGGTGAAAGTTAAATTATAAATCCAAAAATTTCCTTTGGCCTTGAACCTTTTAAGTAATTTTCTAAAAAGTCTCCGCTTTTAAAGTAGTAAAGTAACTATTTAGGTGTTATTTTCTGTTCCTGAGTCAACAGTCTCACTTTCTTGTATTATGAAGCAATTTAATGTATGGTACCAGCATCACAGAATTAAACAAAACACTTATCTCCAATAGAAGCTCTTATCTTGTAAGAATCCAATGCCTCCTCATATGATTTTGTATGACTAGATACATACAAAATATGTCATCTATATGATTATGGGTAAGGTTGATATGTTCACGTAAGGACACATTCAAGTGTGGGGATGGACAGAACTTAAATGAGCACTTAAGAAGACTTAAGAAAATAAAGTTACTATGTCGAAAGCAAAAATTACATAAATCAAATTCACAGTTTGAATATCAGAGTTTCCAAATTTCATGATTTAAATCTTTACCTTATTTTTTTTTTCTTTTGAGATAGAGTCTCACTCTGTCTCCCAGGCTGGAGTATAAGTGGCACAATCTCAGCTCACTGCAACCTCCGCCTCCCAGGTTCAAGCGACTCCCCTGCCTCAGCCTCCCAAGTAGCTGGGATTACAGGCACGCACCACCATGCCCAGCTGATTTTTATACTTTTAGTAAAGACGGGTTTTCACCATGTTGGCCAGGCTCTTTGGAACTCCTGACCTGAAGTGTTCCACCCACCTCAGCCCCCCAAAGTGTTGAGATTACAGGCGTGAGCCACCGCACCTGGCCAAAATCTTTATCTCTTTTAAGCAATAACCTGTGCATGCTTGAAAAGTCACCAAATTAAAACAACTCATGAGTTATTTCACACCACTGAGCTAAACTAATATTAAATTAATGGCAAGAAAAAATACATTTTGTATCAGAATAATACTTGAATCCTTATCTAACAATCACTTTTTCCATCTTCTTAACCCAGAGCCAAAATAAACAGACAAAAAAAATCAAACAAAAAGCAGACAGACGTATAGGTCTCTTCAGCACTAACTCTGGCTCAAAGGCTGACTACAAAGCACAGGAAATCCTCTGAATGTGGAGGGCCCAGGGGTCAGGTGCAGGCTCAGGAGAAGCATTCGCTGTGAAGGTTCTGCTGAGCAGGAGTCACTGGCCAGGACACCGGGTCTGCGCACAATGGCACTATTGTTCTCCAGAGGTCAGGCACACAAGGAATGTGACTCGGACAGAACATCAGATGCTGAAGAAGATGAAACTGCTCTTTCTTCAAAGATGTGCCGAGAGGGCACGCAAAGGCTTCTGAAGCACAACTCCAGAAGGTTTAGAGCAATCCCTGGAATTCCAAATGCAGCCTTAACAGATAGCCATTTATTCATAGCCCGAATGTATTGTATTCGTGCACAGCTTGAAACCTTCTCTCTCCAGTCTCCAGAACCACTCTGAATTGCAGAGCTGCACCCAGAGCCTCTGAGTCTCTGTTTCCAGCAGAGACAGTGTTGACTGGCACTCCTGTGTCCTTGTTTTTGAGTGCTAGAATTGATAGGCTAAAATCTAAGCCCACAGACCAAATAAAGAATAAATCTGCTTTGTGCTGAGAAACGCAGAGTGACACCTGCCTATTGCCACTGCAGATGTAAGGCCTGTTATCTGTGGAAAATGTGTCATATAAATCCCGCATGAGGTCACAGATGCGGGTGCTTGTCACTTGCCTTCATAAGGCTTTTCAAAATTCCGTGATGTTTTTAATCACAGTTTTTCAGAGTGATCACTCTAAAGCCAAAAAGAAGTTTGGGTTGTCAATTTCTCATGTAGCTAGCCTTTTTTAAGGGGAGAGTAGCCAGGCTTTGCTTTAATACTCAAGAATCCTTTCTGTAGATTTTTCTAAGCTGCCTAAAAACAAAACTGAGAGAGAAAAGCCAACCACTCATTACAAGTACACATCGTGCCATCTGCAAAGAGAAATCAAGAAATGACATGCACAGGTAGTTGAGACTCAGTAATAGTAATTACCACAACGGAATGAGCAACAGCTCTTATGGGTTTTGCTAATTTTACTGATAAACCCTTGTTTGATTAATAACTCTTTTCCAGCTAAAAATAGTAAAATGCTTGCACAGATGGTGCTGTTTGACTAGAAGAGAATCCTCTCTTAAAGCCTCTCTGAGAAGTTCCAGAATTTCAGAGAACATAAAAACTGATCATGTATGTGTGTGTGTGTGTGTGTATATAAAATCAGTTTCATGAAAACTATGATCACATATATATGGTCTATTTTATATATATATGTATATATTTGGTCATATATATACATACATACATACATACACACACACACACAGTTGAGGATTCCCTATGTTCCCCAGGATGGTCTTGAGCTCCTCGGTTCAAGCAGTCTTCCCAATTCAGCTTCCCAAAATTCAGCTGGGATTCCAATGGCTCCCTGGTAAAAAGTACCTCTTTGACACCAGAAATTTCTCTTTCAGAGAATGGGTTCTCTCTTGTTATCTCCCATTCTCTCTCTGTCTCTCTCTCTCTCAATATAAGAGCTAATCATCTTAATGGGGTGAAATAAGTCTGTGACATAATTCATCAAATATGAGATTTTCTTCTTGAAAACCCAGAGAACAGCAGCCTGGGAGGCCTCAAAAAGCCCTTCTCACAGGAGAGTAAAAGAAGAAAAAAAGTAGCCATCAAATGAGTAACATTTCTAGAAATTTCTAGAAATTCTCTTGTAATCTTTTGTTTCCTAAGCATATTCCTGGGAAGAGTTGGAGAGGAGGTATTGCTGATTTTCACTCTTCCCTCACATCCGAGGCATCAAATGTCGAGTCCTATTCACTTGATTAAGGCAGCATCACAAGTTCATTCGTGAACAGCCTCAGGGGCTCACTGCCAGCATGTCAGTTGCTTGGCTGATTAATACCAACTGATGAGGTAACTTTTGGCCATAATCTTCTTGGATTGGGGTAGCCTCACAGCTAATAACATGCCTCCTTCTCTAAAAACAATGAAACAAACATAGCAAGATTTCCTTTCCCCCAGCAGGGAAAGCTTCTAGTGTTCTTGAGTCCGCCTCACCTTGAAGATACATTTCCTCTCCTTCTGTGAACATCTGGTTGCATCTGCTGCATCGTGCACAGCTGGGGTGGTAATGTTTGTCACCTGCCTGCAAGAGAAAAGGAGGGAACATTGAGTCTACTCCTTGTTGTGGATTCCAGAATCTTTTCTGGACTTGAGGATTTAGAAGAAAAAAGATGCTGAAAAAGGAAAAATAATTGTCTAATTGACCAAACTTCCTACACCAACAGCCCCGGAAGCTAAAGCCAACTTCACTGAAACTGGGAGGGGCTCAAAGGCCAGCTACCCGTGGCTGCCTGGTGGGGCTGCCTTGCCTCTCAGCGTTCCTGGCTTCTATGTGTCCCTCTTGACCTGGATGGCTGCCAGTAACACACCATATGCCTGAGATGAGTCACTCCATCTCCCCAAAACCCCACTTTGTTGGGAGCTAATGCTGTTTCTAACAAACCAACCAAAAATAAATGACCCTTATATTTAGCAGGTTCTTGCTTTCTTGGCTAAACAATCTGAAAATAATAAAATCTACCCCAGTGACATCAAGGTGAGGAAAGCTATAGTAAAATACATCATCCACTGCTTTTATCTCAAAGGGGGCCCAAAGTCTCTTCTATGCAGCTTGCAATAATCTTTTGCCAGTGGCTTACATGAAGAGTTTCCTGGAGAAGGCATTTTACTAAGGTGGCTGTGCATTATTCATGGGCATTTCACATTCCTAAATATGACAGATGCCATCACAGCAGGTGTTGACTTCCCCAAAGCAAAGTGTCACTGGATACAGGGACAATTTTCTAGACAGGTGCCAAATCACATTAGAGTCACACTCCACACACATGCCTGGCAAGAACAAATCCTTTCATTCACAGCCTAGCAAAAAATCATCGCCACCTAAGAGCTCTCAGATGGACTCTGATTAAATCGTCTCCATCAATTCACCATCAAAACATTTCTTCTGCATTAACCATGTACAAGGCAGTGGTCGAGAAAGAGTTAAAAATGGCTGCATCCTGCATCAGAACCTGCACGAAACTACAACAGGAAATCAGATGTCAGGTAGTAATTCCTTTCTCATACCTTCCTGTAAAAACTAGAAGATCCGCTTAGCAACCAGCACGTGAGGTGGTGGTGAGCCATTTAAGATAATCAGGTGGAAAAAAAAAATTGAAGTTATTTAAATTAGAAGTTAGGAATAAAAATATTTTCAGTGGTGCCTGCAAGAAAATTCCAGAAGTGGTGCTCTTGTCCTTGTCCACATGCTACTTTTATTTATTTATTTATTTTACTTTATTTATTTTTTTTTGAGACGGAGTCTCACTCTGTTGCTCAGGCTGGAGTGCAGTGGTGCGATCTCGGCTCACTGCAAGCTCCGCCTCCCAGGTTCACGCGATTCTCCTGCCTCAGCCTCCTGAGTAGCTGGGACTACAGGCACCCGGCACCACGCCCGGCTAATTTTTTGTATTTTTAGTAGAGATGGGGTTTCACCGTGTTAGCCAGGATGGTCTCGATCTCCTGACCTTGTGATCCACCCGCCTCGGCCTCTCAAAGTGCTGGGATCACAGGTGTGAGCCACCGCGCCCGGCCACATGCTACTTTTTATTTATTTGTAAAATTTTTTACTTTTCTGCAGGAGGAAGGGTAGGGCTGGGGGAGAGTGGTGAGAGAAGGCAGGAAATATCAGCACAAAGTAGCTCCTGCCTGTAGGACATCTGAGGTCAAATGTGAGCAGAAAGGAGGAAGAAAGAAGACATTACTCAGTCCTAAGCGCTCAGTTCTAAACCAGGTTCGCTCAGCTAGGATGCCAGTGCTGGGAGGTCCAAGTTAGTCCGGGCAATCTCTGGACTCTTAAGGAAAATGTTAAGTGAAAAAATAAAGGCCCGTTGACAAGAGCATGGTGTCATCTGCAGTGAAAAGCATACCTCTCAGTAAACTATAAATAGAAAGAAATGTCTTCAAGCTGATCAAGTGTATTTATCATATTTAGTGGTGAAACCTTCATGGCATTTTCATTAAAGACAGGAAAAAGACAAACAAGACAAAGGTGTACACTTTTACCAATATCATTCTACATTGTTTTCCTCCTGGCCAATGTGATGTCAAGAAAAAGAAGTATAAAGATCACGAATACAAAAATCGAGTCATATGGCTAAATAAAAAATTAACATATAAAAACCATTATTTCCTATTCACTAGCAATAAAAATTAACTAAATGTAAAGGGAAAATGGGATCCCATTTGTAATAACAACTAATAAACCCTCCAATGTAAGATCTACATAGAGCAAATTATGGAACTTAACTGATGAACATAATAGACCTAAATAGAAATATATGATATTTCTAGATGGAGAAACTAAATATTGTAAAGATGCTGATTTATCAAAAATGAACCTATTAATGCAACACCCAGTCTAAACACCCACAGGAATTTTCTCTACAGACCTTGACAGGCTGCTTCTATAAGTTTACGTGACAGAATAAATACACACACAAAAAATACATTTTTTTGTGAAAGAACAGCAATAAGGAAGGATTTTCCCTTCCTGTCATAAAATTTTTTTCTAAGTCTAAAATAATTAAAGTACTTTACTATGGGTGTGGGTGTAGAAAATAATCAACAGTACAGAAGAGAGGGATCAGTTGCATAGCTGTACATACAAGGGAATTCAGTTTATGATAAAGGTAATAGTTCAAATGAGCTGAAATAATGGATTACTCAATAAATAGAGAGGACAACTGGTTCTCCACTTAGAGAAAGATAAAATCTAGATTCCTAAGTCACAACCTATACAAAAATCAATTCCAGGCTGAGCATGGTGGCTCATGCCTCTAACCTCAGCACTTTGGGAGGGCTAGGCAGGAGGCTCACTTGAGCCCAGGAGTTCAAAATCATCCTGAGCAAAACAAGTGAGACCTTGTCTCTACAAAAAAATAAACAAAATTAGCCTGGCATGGTGGCTTACACCTGTAGTCACAGCTACTTGGAGGCTGAGGTGGGAGGACTGCTTGAGCCCAGGAGGCTGAGGCTGTGATGAGCCGAGATCATGCCACTTGCCCTCCAGCCTGGGCAACAGAGCAAGATCCCATCTCAAAAACAAACCAAACCAAACAACAACAACCCCAATAAAGAAGTACTTAGAATACTGATTCACATGTGGCCGTTACAAGACTGATGTAAACTCACATGTACACACATGGAAACAGTTCAAGCTAATATTACTAAGAGAAAAAAATCAAGTGGAAAAATAATACCTATAAAATAACCACATAAGCTAATTGGATTCAAATCCAGTTTCAGTATTGTGTGATCCTGTGCATGTGACAATCTCTCCAATCTTCAGCTTCCACATCAATAAAATGGGTAGAAATAATAGAACTTACCCCACGCAGTTGATGAGAGCACTATTAGGAACCTAGTATATTGCCTGGCACCATGTTAAGTGCTTTAAAAGCATAATTTTCTTCAAACCCCTCATCAATCCTGTAAGGCAGACACTCTTATGATTATTTATGTCAATGAGTACACACATGTATATGTATATTGATCTTATATGTGTGCCCTTCTTGGAGAGAAGACAGGGAGAATGTACCCCAACTAGTTTGCTGTGGTTACCTTTGGAGCAAGAGGTGAGAGCCGGGAAGAAGTAAAGGAAGGGACCCTCACATTCTCCTTTGCAGCTATATCATCTCAACCCTTTAAAACAAGAATATATATTTTTGTTGCTGTGTAATAAAATAAAGACCAAGAGGAAAGAAAGTCCATTTCTTTTGGAGCCATGACACCTGAACTTCAGTGTTTTCCCCAGCTTGTACTGGAAATGGGATCTTGGGCAGATCACAAGCTCTTGGAACCTCTGTTGTAAAGTAGAGATGATGATGATG